ACACACACACACACACACACACACACACACACACACACACACACACAACCCCTTCATAAATAAAACCATACGTTTTATAGGATGATTGACAACATGAAATGGACTACTTAGTAAATTTAGGTATTTGATAAATGTTAACTATTTTACTTCATTATCACCAAAAGTGCCAGTCTCCTCTCACTTCTTATCACTTGCTCTTTCCTCTAAAGCATGAACAGACAGCATGGTCATTCCCTCTCTCTGCAGGTAGGATAGGGCTAGGAAACTCCACTCAGAGACTTTGCTCTCCACATAGGCCAATGGCTTCTCACTTTTGTGAGGAAGAAAGAAAGTGTAGTTTCGAGATGAATAAGGCCTTTGAAGTAAAATTGGCAGTGCAGCTGTAACTAGACGGCTAGATCGCACAGCAACTTGCTAAGGTTTTATTTTATGCCGTGTCGAATCTTTCAAGTAGACTTTAAAGAATGTTTTCACTTATGCCCGCGATGAAGAATGGATTTGGCTGGCAGCGCTGGCATTGTATGTTGCTGATATATAAAGCTCCCAGCATCAGGAAGGGTTATTTTCGTTCCTATCAGAGTTTACAACACAAGAGAGTGTTCTAGAATGAGTCACTCTTTAGCTCCAAACAAAAATAGCCCAGTCCCTAACACGACTGAATCTTTACAACAGTTGGTATCTCCGGGGAGACATTTAGAGCCGCATATTCATTTCTGCTGCTCACCACGCAACAAGCCCATGTCATTGAAAGCACCCAACATTTGATGACCACAGCCACCAGCACCTTCAAAATCGTGTGCACCTGTGGCTTTTGTGAAGTTGATCTGCTGGGGGGCCCTCAGACCATGAGTCCTCTTGGTTTCCAAATTCTACTTTTACCAAGAGTAGGTTTCTAGTGTTTTTATTGTATGTGCATGTAAATATGTGCACAAGTGTATGCATCCATGTTGAGACCAAGGGACTACCTTAGGTATCTTTCCCCAAGTGCCATCACATCTTTCTTTGTTGAAACAAGATCTCTCACCAACCTGGGGCTCACCAAAAAAGCTAAGCTGTCTGGCCAGCAAGCCCAGAGGCCACCTGCCTCTGCCTCCAAGACTCTGGAATTACATTAGTCTTGGGGACTGAACTCTGGTCTTCGGGCTTGCAAGACCAGCACCTTATCATCTAAGCCATCTCCTCAGCCTCTCAGCCCCAAAGTGTGGGGTCTTAAAAAAAAAAACAACTTATTAACCAAGATGTGTGTGTGTGTGTGTGTGTGTGTGAGAGAGAGAGAGAGAGAGAGAGAGAGAGAGAGAGAGAGAGAGAGAGAAAGAGAGAGAAACCGTGTGAAGGTGGTTTGTGTGATTATGGAGGACAAAATCTAATGACTCCTACGCATGAGACAGTATAGCTCCCAGTGCAAAGTGGGTAAAAATGAGATAAGATGTCCCAACTCACACAGTGAGCAAAGACTAGGAGCAGGCAAATCATGAGCTGTGGGAACGATTTGGTGAATCCAAAACATTTGCCACACAAGCATGAGGACCTGAGTCTGAAACCCCAGACCCCATGCAAACCAGACTTGACAGTGTGCATGTGTAATCCCAGTGCTTTTATGATGAAAAACAAGGCAGAGCCAGGAGAACCCCAGAGACTTGTGTTCAGCTACCATAAACAACACAGCACTCCCCAGCAAGAGACTACCTAACTAAGTTGGAAGGTGAGGACCAACTCCCAAGGTGTCCTTTGAACTCTGTAGGCACGCCATGCACATGGGCCCATCCTTACAAATACACTCACATGTCACACACAACATTTATTTTTAACAATTTTTTCTTCTTCTACCTTTTGTTCTATTATGGTTCCTCGTGGTTCCTATTAACATAATTTGGGAATAATAATCTACCTATCAACTCCTCCAATTCAAAGGCTCATCTCCTTGATGCTTAGAAACAATGTGACAGACATACCCAGAAATAATGTTCAATCTGGGTACCTTGTGGCTCAGTTAAGTTGACACATAAAATTAGCCATCAAATAAGCCTTAAGATTAAAAAAATTAAAAATACTGAATTTAAAAAATTAAATAAATTCAGGTTAAAGTAAAACAGAATTTCCAAGCTTAAATTTTCTGTTATTATGTCACAGTTTATCTTATAGGATACTATGAGTTCACTTTCACAGGGTGACCATTAGAAACTCACTCAGTTCATTCTTGTGTGAGTAAAAGAGAAAGTTCTAGAAGACTATATTGGCCATGCTTCCTGTGATTCTGTCATGTATAAAGTGCCCCTGTGTGCACACCCTTGCTACAGTCTTTCCCCTGCCTCACCTTACACTTCATAGAACCATTTTCTACTCTACTAAAGTGAGCCACATCAGCTCTTACCAGCCATCTTGTCTACCGGGGGCCTATCTTGTGGAAATACTATCCTGCTTTTCTTCTTCCCATTCTATTCTGACTCGACTTGCCCTCCTGGAAGCCTTTCCTGGGACCCAATGGACCTCTGTCTGTAGCACTTTCCTGAAGCATCTTTGCCCTCTCCGTCATCTGTCCACCTGTCCAGCTGAGTAGGAACACTAGCTAGTGCCACACAGCTTCTTTCTATGACAAATAAAAGAGAAAGAACACACTTGTACAGAGTTCAGGGGGACAGCGAGGGGACCTGAAGGGAGCACACAAAGAAAGGAGAAATTCCCAAACTATTTATATGCATATTCCATGGAAGACACAGCTAGTGAGCTACCTGGGTAGGGGTGGAGCCTGAAGCTGAAAAGACCCAAGGGCTTAGGGGGCCACCCTGAGTGCGAGCTCTGCTGTGGGCATCTCCTGCTCGCACCTTTGCCTTTCTCCCCTCGTCCCTGATCTCTCTCCACAGAGCTGCTTTCTCCCCCTCCATATTCTTGTGTTCTCTTCTCTTCTGAGTCCATTACACTATCCTCACCATAGCCCAGGTTGTCTGCTGACCAAGATTGGTATTGGGAACTTGCCTTCTTGTCCCGGGTGTCCACTCCTGGTTCCATAACCTATCAGAGCAGAGCTCTCACGGCGCGACAGTACAAGCCAGACCTGCTGGACTCCACCACCGCACAGCCTAGGCTGAAAGCCTTGAGGAAAGTTAATTGGCGCTCTTGCCCTGTACTTTTTCCATCTGTAAGGTGGGGCTAATGAAAGCTAGCCCACAGTGCTCCTATGAAGACTCAATGGCACATGGTGCAGAGTGTTTAGCACAGTACCTGGCTTTTGCTGGAATACAGAGCATATTTATGCTCGTCCTGGGGATGGTGAGGCTATCAAAACCAGAGAGGTTGAGATTCTCTTAACAAGGTTCAGTTCCTTTGTGCTCCCAGGAGAGCACAGCACACAGAAGGCGTTTCATGAGAGGATGCTGGTAGGCTGAAACAAGGGATGATGAGTCACACAAGGGTCATTGCTCCAGGCTTTTCAATCTCTGAGAGATGTCCCTAGCGAGCCCTTCAAGTCTTTCTTTAATAACCAGCGTAGCTTCATCATTTTCAGGACCTGGGAGAAAATGCCACTGATAGAAGAGAATCTGAGAAATTATCAAGTGACAAGGTGTGATTTATGCTTTGGGGAAATTGGGGGAAAATGTCAAAAGGCTTTTCAGTACCGAATGGAAGCTGGAAGGAGGGAAAAGCTGTTAAGCAAGCATAAAAAGCAAGGACACTAAGGCGATGAGAGTTGAACTCCCGAAATGTCGCTTAGAAGATGAAATGTTCATGACAGTATCACCCTTGTGGCTCCCAGTGAACACTGTGACAAAACGAAATGAGAAAAGGACCCTCGCTGGGCAGTTTGTAGTTCAAGAAAGAGATGACACTACGCTTTCCGGTCATTTCTCAAGCTTCCTATAGACAAATCACACCCCTTTGCGATCTTGGAAGACTGTTCTATCTCAGACACACCAAAGAAGTGGCTACTTGTGTTTCCTGACAGAAGCAAGTACAGGCCAGAAACCGTACACTGTGCACTGTGCAGAGTCTGAGGAAGCCAAGTGTGATTGCTTTTTATACCAAGTGTCTGAGCAAAGTTGCTTAAGGAAGGAAGGTTTGTTTGCTCAGGGTATGAGGGAATACAGTGTACCCCAGCAGGGAAGGCATAGCGGCAGGTGTCTCATTACATGACGCCCTCTGTCAGGAAACAGAGCAGGGGTGCTCATCAGTCTTTCTGAGTCTGGTCCTCCAGGACACGCTGAGGGTGGGTTTTCCCTCCTCTGTCAAAGTTCTCTGGAAACACCCTCACAGACCCACCCACAGGTGAGTCTCCTGAGTGATCCCAAATCTAGTCAGGTTGATGATGATACTAGACACTGGACCAGTGAAGTGGCCGAAGAAGTGGCATGCATTCTTGCCAATACCAACCCCAGAGGGTAGGGAACATATTTGCCATGTTCCCAGCTGTTCCATGTTAAGCAAACCATTTCATATTTCGTAGGCATTCAGCGGTGCTGAGCTAAGAGATAGGGAAGGCAGGGAGACAGGAGAGTGTGAGAGGAGGGGTAAGGAAATCATTGCTGCGGTCTGCCCTGAGATTCTTAGTGAACTAGTTAGATACAAAAGAGGAAATTAAGAACTATACACAAAGGGCATAGTTAGTAATGGGGGCAACCTGCCAAATGGGGAGATACTCACTGCTATATTTATATCTAGAACATACCAGGAACTCAGAAACCTCAATAGAAAAATAATTTGTAAATGGTCAAGTTGAAAGAACAAACATGCGTAAATGGCTACTGGACACACGAAAAGATATTCAAAATCATGGGTCATCAAGAGGATTGAAATCAATACCAAAATGAAAATCAAAGACCAAATTAGAATGGCTGTTATCCAAAAGACTGAGAGTAGCGTGTTCCAGCAAGGAAGTGGAGAAAGGGATCCTGCGTGTTCTTGGTGTGATGTCAACTAAAATATAGCTGTCATGTGACCCAGCAGTCCCACCACTGGGGACCTTCCCAAGGAAATGAAATAAACATGTCAAGAGCCATCTGCATTCCCGTGTTAACACACTGTGTTAACTCACACTTGCCAGAAAGTGGAAACCACCTAAGCGCCCATCATCTTGGAAACTGATAAGGAAGCTGGGGTCTGTACACAAAACGTGACGCTGTTGAGCCATGAAGAAGAATGAAATCCTGTTATTTATGACATGATAGATGATGGTATTGGGGGGTCATTATATCAAGGGAAGCAGTATCACATGATCTCTCTCGTATCTGGAAACCAAAGCAATGATCTCATACAAGCTGAGAACAGAAAGGTCCACTAGAGACGGGGGGAGCAGAGAGTTAGAGACATGGAGAATGGTTGATCCGAGAGTGCTAAGTTACACTTAGATAGGAGAGTTGCAAAGCTAGCCAGTTGGGTGCACTGGTTAGGGGTTTTGTTTTAATCCTCTCTGTTCCCTGGGTTTAGGGAGGAGGCTGACTTCTAGAGGAGTGGTTTGAAAACATTTAACTTATGCACTCCTATCAAGTAACAATTTTAGAGCATATTCAGAAATCTGTACAGAGTTCTGTCCTACTGTATCCGTATGTACATTATAAAATATTTTTAAAGTATTCTTTTTGTTTTTAATCTTGCACATATGTGTATGGGTATGTGCACATGAGTGCAGGTGCCCACAGATGGGATTCCCTCAAGCTGGAGTTACAGACAATTGTGAGTCACCCAGTATGGGTGCTGGGAACTGAATGTGGGTCATTTGCAAGAGCAGTGTGCACTCTTAACCCCTGAGCCCTCTTTCCAGCCCCACATTATAAGTTATCTTGAAAGGATGTTTAAAAGGGATGCTATAAACAGTGCTTTAAGTCCCTGTCTGGCCATGGTGACCATCTCTCTCTTGCCTACATCACAAGGTACAGCAGTTGTTTGCCCAAAAAGTCGACACTAACAAAGGGGAGAATGGAAGTCTCTGTTTTCAAATGATCTGCTAGGTCATTTCTGTGACTTGGGACTCCAGTCAGACCTGATTAATCACTGCATTGACTTTATGAATGGCGAAGAACTCTTGTCAGTTGAGTAAATAGCATCTCTGCATTTTCTTGAAACACAGGCTTTTTTATTGGGTGAGGGTATTGGTATCATTTCACTCCAATGCTTCTTTTCAGCTGGATTTGACAACATTTCTATATAATCTGGCACTATGGTCTGTAAACCCGGTTATCTGGTGATACTCAGACACATGCTCACACGCTACAGAAGAGAAACTTGGCAGATCTGGTCCTGACTTTGCCCTCTATCTTGTGGCATTTCTCATACAGTAGCATAAGTCCTGAAAATTGGTCCACTTACTAAATATTAGTAATGTTTAATGGCTTTATTTTTTTAGACAAAGTAGAAGTTTCAATGTTACAATCCTATACTCCCCAGTAAAGCAATCTGGAGTCCATTGCATCTGTGGGGAGGTATTGGTCTCTGTACCATCTTATATTCCCCAGTAGATCAGTTTGGAGCCTGTTGCATTTAGATTGTAGAGTGATGTCATCCTTCTGTTTGTTCCCTCTGTCTAATGGCTTCTGTGTGTTGCGCCCCTCAGACGGCTGAAGAGAAGAAGCGATCTGGCCACAGTGACAGTAATGGCTTCGCAGGTCACATCAACCTCCCAGACCTTGTGCAGCAGAGTCACTCCCCAGCTGGAACTCCCACCGAGGGACTGGGTCGTGTCTCCACCCATTCCCAGGAGATGGAGTCTGGGACTGAAGTAGGTGCCAGGCAGCGGCCATGAAAGTTCTGTTCTCCTCCGTGAGGTTCTGCACATTGATGGAGTCAAGACTGTCACAACCTTGTCAGGCTCTGGAATGTGTTCGCTTGGTTTCTGCTATAACTGCTTATGCCGATACTCAGAGAAAACACATAGATACAGCTAAAAAAAAAAAGTCCTTATGCATCATCTAGCTTGATTCCTGTGTTATGTGCTGAAACCTAGAGAAGTTAAATGACTTGTCCAGGACACACAGCTAGTTACAACAGTGCTTGTGCCAGAACTTGGGCCTCCTGCATCATTAGCCATCAGGAGAAGCTATAGACCAGTGAGATTTCAAAGCCGACAGTTTGGGCTCATATTTCCATTAATTTAGTCAACCTAAGCTTGACGTGAATAAAGTGTAGTTGAAATGGTTTATGGAATATAGGTCCCTACTGTTTAATAAATGGACAAGAGATTGGTTCTTTCTCCAAGTTGCAGCAGGAAGATGAAATCAGACATTGTTCCTACGTGGAAGCAATCCTAGGAGAGGCCGAGCGAGCACAGGTGGTTCTTAGCGCCGGATGAGTTCAAGGCTGTGTCGTGTGTTTCCTGGCAGTCCTGTGACTCACACAGAGGCCCTCAGTGTTCTTCTAGAGCGTGTTTGCTGCTGATTTTGACATTACCCACACACTGAATTTCTATCACAAGCATGTTCTTGGCATGCCCCAAGGGTAAAAGCTCATGAGCATCTTCAAAAGCACAGCATCCTGTTGCAACTTCAGGCAGTGCGGGTAGCCTTTCACCTAAAGCCCTACCGGTACCAAGGAGGGCCCCACAGAACAGGCCCCTGCACAGGAGGACTTTGGTCCAAATCTTGCTCCTCTCCCAGCTCCAACAGGAAATGTTCTTACCTGTTTTACCATCGCCTTTCTGGACTCCTGAAGATGAAAAAGAAAACATATTCAAAACACTGCTTCTGGGAAGGGCTGTGCTGTGGGGGACAAGGAAAGAAATTGGATTCCAAGGGGCAGAGGGAAACCTTGAAAGGAATCAAATTGGATCTTTGTGAGTTAGGAAATCAAAATTAGATATTTACAAGTAGGCCCTTAGATAATTAGGGCTTAGGAATGTTGATTTATTTTTAATTAAAAATCTGATAACAAAGCTAAAAATGTATGCCTAAAATAAAAATACACACAAAGGGTGTCGAATACCGGTGTGTTTGTGATCTAAAGGAATGCGTGGGGAGCTTGGGAGATGTTGGTAATGTGCCTGTCTCACAAGCATGAAGACTTGGTTCTGATCCCGAGAATGCATGTAAAGGTGGTGGTGGTGGCTGTACCCAGCACCAGAGGTAGGGGAAGGTAGAAACCATCTTTTTGGCTAGCCAATCAAGCCAAATGGGTGAGCTCTGAGCTCAGTCAAAGACTGTGCCCAAAAAATGAGATAGATGAGCAATCAAGGTCACCTGACAGGGACCTCTGACCCCCCACACACATGTACACATGTGAACATCACACACACATACACACTCACACACACACACACACACACACACACACACACAATGGATACTGTTGAAGGAAAGATGAGAGCAAACAAAATAGGCAAATAGCTATAGTACTTCTTTTGACAAATTCAATTACATTATGACACCAAATGCTAATATTGAATATATTATTCCCTAATCTAGTTCTGACTTTATGCCTTCAGTTTAAGCCCTTAAGACTTATTTAAAGTAAGTCCTCAAGGTATATTACATCCAAACCCAGTGGTTGCATGAAGTCCCCACATAAAGCATGTGGCTTAAGGATTTTCTTAAACTACCAAGGGAATAAAGCATCAATCCCTGAATAAATTATCTCTGATTAAAGAATTTAAAGCTGTTAGAGCTGATTCATGTTCGCAAGAATGGAAGGGTCCAAAGGCCCCCTTCTAAGGGAGACTAAGCTGACTGTTGCTCTATCTGGGCTGATTGTCCTGGGATGGAGCGTTGCTCTGGCAACATGTTCCAGGATGAGCGTTGGCTGTAGCAACGTGTCTTAGATTTTGCTTTTTTTTCTTAAGACCATTTGGTCAATGCAGGATGAGTTGACTTAAAAGTAGAGATAAATTGTCAGAGTAATGACAGTGACCAGAGCACAGATACTAAGGTGCCACCTGCATCCAAATGTAATTTTCTTTCTGAAACACTTATGGTCTGATCACTAATGAAGCCCTGCACACACACACACACACACACACACACACACAGAGAGAGAGAGAGAGAGAGAGAGAGAGAGAGAGTCTGGAGAGTAACCAGAACTGGGAGAAACTGGACAGAGGTCCACGCTTTGCCTAGAGAGTGAACAGACAGCCGAGGAGTCTGCAGTCAGTGTCTAGGCTGAACAGAGAAATGCCAGCTCCACCTGTTCCTCCTGCATTGACTTCTCCTGCTTGTTTTTTGATCAGTATGGCATGGGAAGCAGCACCAAAGCCTCCTTCACCCCCTTCGTGGACCCCAGAGTGTACCAGACATCGCCCACTGATGAAGATGAGGAAGATGACGAGTCCTCCGCTACTGGTAAGCGAGCTGGCCCTAGAGTTTTACAGATAGGTTTCCTGTCCTGTAAAACCCAGGGACGAGACTCACCAACTCAGGTTACACCGCTTATTGCTGATGCCCAGTCTCTGGATAAAGATACTTTAAAATGTTTTACTTGGTGGAACTCCTGAAAGAAAATTACTTTCTCCTCAGAACCTGACTTTTTTTTTTTTTCTGTTTCTGGAAGAAACCCAGAGGTATCCCAGGATGCTAGGAAAAGCCACCCCGCAGCGATCTCCAAACATACCGCATATTTCTCAAAAACAGTTTCTGGGTATAATGCTATGCTCGAATATGCTCGAAGCAGTGTGGTACTGAACACTCCATACATGCGTGTTCAGCTGTGTTGAGTTCCAGGCGGGCACTTCCGTTGCAAATCTGGCTAACTAAGAGGATGGCCTTGCTGCTTTGCCTTCTGCAAGTCACTAATCATTGAAGTCAGCTGTTCCTTGTTTGTAATTACAGGAATGGCATATTTGACTCAAAGAGATTAATACTAATTTTCTACACCATCCAAAGGAGTGTCTATAAGCCTGTTTTGCTAATGAATAAAATACCGCTTCTGTGACATGCTTTAGCCTACTAAAACAAGTATAAAATGGGTTCCTGGTTCCTGTGCCTTTACTATAATAGGCCCCAAGCCAAGCCCTCAACCATACTGCCGTTGGCTGGCTGTGAAGATGCTATTGACTTCTCTAATTCTTTCTCTCAAAGCCCTCTTTACTAGTGAACTTCTTAGGCAAGAACAAGCTAAACTCAATGAAGCGAGGAAGATTTCCGTGGTAAATGTGAACCCAACAAACATTCGCCCTCATAGTGACACGCCTGAAATCAGAAAATACAAGAAACGCTTCAATTCCGAAATACTTTGTGCAGCTCTGTGGGGTACGTTGGTGGTTTGTTTGTTTGTTTGTTTTTTCACACTCATTAATCAAGTTACCGTAAAGTGTAAAAAAAAAAAACCCTATGGCTTTTGCCTTCAGAAAGCAGTAGGAGAATCAAAGGTGTTAGGGCTGATGTGGGGCTGCCTCAGGAGTGACCAAAAGTGTGTGTGTGTGTGTGTGTGTGTGTGTGTAACTTGTATTCCAGATGGCATGTAGAGTGGTGAGCAAATATCAGCCACAGAATCATCCATCACTGAATACTTAGCCACTGTGTGTCCAGCACTATACATGCCACCCCGCATCCTACCTCTGTGATCCCATATTGTATCCTGCTAGGGCTGTAAGGGCACCACATGCTTTTCACAGCTGAAAAACAAGCCCAGCGTATTTTAGTGACTTATCCAAGGCACTGAATCAACAGTAATTGGGTAAAACCCGAAAAGAGCAGCAGTGATGGGAACACTGCAGAGTGGGCACATCGGGATGAAGCTCTCATCGAGTAGATCTGAAGATATTCGCTGGCTTCAAACTTAACGTGGGTGTGGACATTTATCAAAGTCTTGGCCTATATTACTATATTACTTAAAGCATCATAGGAAAATAAGGATATGGTCCGGCTGACCCCATCTCCATTGCTAGGCTTGAACTGGGACATCATAATTTCATAAGACTAGAGGTATCTGCCACGTGAGCCAGGATAAATATTGCAGCTTAGGAATTGTTCCATGAGGGGCATGGTGACTCTGCAGTAGGAAGATGAGATTTGGAGAACAAAATAACAACATTTAACATAGTAGATAGCAATGTTTTTCAGAACTTAGATGTGTACCAAGAGATGGTGACGATTCACGGCGCAGTGAATCTTCCTTCCACAGCTCTGCCTAAGGCTCCCCTTGGCAAGTATTCTCTGAGCTAAGCACTCAATGGATATGTGTAGTGTATTGCTGCTTCCACTTTTAAAAAGTAAAATTGTAATTCTGTTACTAGAGGAACAATGATGTAATTGGAGAGCTGGAGCTTCTCCCTCTACACTGTCACCACAGCTCCTGCCTGCTCATTTGTTTACGTAGGCATGAAGCAGTTTTCTTGACTTCATAGGGATCCAGGTAAAACTGGTTAAGGCCCATAAAAACTCAGTCCTTGCGGGCACCTTAAATTCACAGGTGTGAACCTTCTGGTGGGAACTGAAAACGGCCTGATGCTCTTGGACAGAAGTGGCCAAGGCAAAGTCTACAATCTGATCAACCGGAGGCGTTTCCAGCAGATGGACGTCCTAGAAGGGCTCAATGTCCTGGTGACAATATCAGGTATGTCGCTAAGCTGACCAGACCCCCAGGGGTGCCCAGGTTGGAAGGTAACATCCTGGTCTCTGAAGAAGCCCTGGCCAGCAAACCGTATAAGATGTGCCAGGCTGTAGCTGGGGAGATCACACATGCATTTTGTAATGCTGGAGGGTCTGGCCCCACCGGAAGCTTACCTGTATGTTAAACCTGAGGGGGGCAGACCCGACCACAGAAACTGTGCATCTTGGCTTTTGCTGCCCTTACAACTCAGCGAGACTCTTATTGAGCTGTCTGCACTGCGGTTCCGGTCATACTCTGAGATGAAGAAAGCCGAAAGGAAGGCTTCTGGGAGAAGCAAGAAGAAGTCTCTCTTTTCTCAAAATGTCTGCACATAATCCACTGACAATTTGAGGACGCTTGTATGACTGGGTAGCCGATTCTAGAGAGAGGATAGTGGGCACATGCTCACTGGTACACTTTTACAACACCAACAGCTTTTTTAAATGGAAAGACCCTGTGAGACAAGTAAGCCTCATTACTAGCAAGTGAAAAGTACAACTGGAGTCTATGATTGTTGATAAGGTGTTTTATTCTTCCTGATGGTGGTTGAAAGAGTTGAACTAATTACCCTCCTCCCTTTTTATTTCATCAGCTATGGAACCAACAGTACTACTTGTGTGTTAGAACCCCCTGGAAGCTGTGAAAACCCAATCTGCCCCCTCTAGACCAGGGTCAGAATCTCTGGGATAAGGTGTAGGCATTCAGTATTGATGGCTCTGACACTTTCCCATCACACAACCTAGTATATGAACTCTATTCTTTATCTTTATTATGCAAAGAGGACCACAAAGGGCTTCTGGGTTGAACTTTAAAGAAGAAAGCTATCTCTTCAGGTGTGCTGTGGCTTGAGAGAAATGTCTCTGGGCACATAATTCCCTCCTTGCTTTACGTCTCTACTGAGTGTTTAGAATCTTGCCATTGCAAATAAAGATTAATCAAGTAAATTGTTCTTATACTATGATTTGAGTTGAGTTCTATGTGGCCTTTGTTTCTGGCTAATTGCTTTCATTATTACTGCCCTCCCAAATCAAAACTGAAACCATGCATCTGCCTGTCATCTATCCAATGTGGAAATGCTACCAGAAAATCCACGTTCAGTCTCCATTTTGCTGTTAGTAACAAGTCTTCATTTTTCAGTGTAGAACTATTACTTCTTATCATAGAGCACAGAGGGAGAAAAGATAATAAAAATAAGAAGGGAGGTTCTTGAACTCGTCAAGTCCTATTAGCACCGGAAGATGGGGCACTGGTTCTGCTCTCTGGAGCTATCGTGAGCACCGGGGCTCCAGGCTTCTGCTTACACAAACAGATGCCAGCTGTGCAGTGTTTCCCACAGCCTCAGCCCCACCGCTGTCCCGTCACATCAGGGAGGGAGGCTCTAATGAACGCTCTTCTTCTGGTGCCTGTCCCATCTGGAGGACATAAAACCTCTCTAAGGAGACAGGAAATATGGGGGAATACAACACACAAGCCGAAATTTCTCATTAATAAAGAGCCATAAAAATATGTGTCTTCTCTCTGGTGCTCAAATAACCCAGTAGAGTGGATTCATTCTGCTCTCCATAAATCTTCCATGCCATCGACTTGTTTTATCACCCTGAGAATGTGTTGCATCTCTTTATACCAAAGGGAACTTTGAAACTTCTCTTGAATTCCAAGTCCACATCTTTGTTTTCTTCTTTTATATTTTTATTTAATATTCCTTTTGGTGACTGCAACACCATAACTTTGTCCAATATCATCCTCTGAACTCAAATTGCTTTACTGAATTTGTTCCTCTTTCTTCTGTGAAATTCCTTTGTCTTACCAGTTAAATAAAACTCTTACCAGTTGTCTTTGATGTGACAGAGGAGGTAGAAAGAGGGGAGAGAAAATTAGAGAAGGTGAGACGCAGTAGACTGAAATGCCCATTTGTCAAAGTGCCTTCATGAGATTAGCTCTAGAAGTTTCTGGAACTCTGTTATAGGGTTAGAACTTATCGTGTTCAGCAGACTTGGGAAGGCAGAGTAAGAGAAGCTTTCTCAAATAAGAGATTGCTTGAAGGTAAAAAGTTCAATTAGTGGTCCCGACAGAGGTAACAGTGAGGAAGAGCAGGACACTGGCTATTTTGCCCTCACAGACACAGCAGCAGCAACAACCTAAACAACAATCTAGGTGAGGGAAGAAGGAGGAAAGGCTAGCACAGCACTTGAATTTCAAACTCTGTTATCTCAACAGGAAAGAAGAATAAGCTGCGTGTTTACTATCTTTCATGGCTAAGAAACAGAATACTGCACAATGACCCGGAAGTGGAAAAGAAGCAGGGCTGGATCACAGTCGGGGACCTGGAAGGCTGTATCCATTACAAAGTTGGTAAGTCTCACTTTGGCAGAATGAGCATCCCAAGTGTTTGGTTCAGTGTTTTCAGGGTTCCCTATCTGCTGTTGATGGTGTGTGTGTGTCACCAGTTTAAAATGTAACTGGACCCAAAGTGGACTTAAATTATTCCCCCAAAAGTCAGATTAATGAAACTCAGAGAATGCCTTTAGAAAAATAAAACTCTATGTTTCAACTTGAATATTTGTAAGTGCTTCTCCCAAAGTTCCCTGAAATGACAATAAAAACTTTAAAAATGCAATAAGTCCCCAAGGTTGATCGGATCAAAGGAAGAGAAACCAGCAAATAGGAAATGGTCATAAAACTGGCCCAAAGTAGCTGTGGTCTGTTTGACTGGAGTCAAACAGAGCAGATTGGGGTTGCAACATTCTCAATCTACAGTGAAGAACATTATGAAAATTACCCATTCACACCACAGAGCCCAGAAAGATCAGAAACCCAGAGAAGACCACAGGATAGAGGTGCATAACAGAGTTGAAAGTAAGGTTGCTGAACAGCAGAGAAGTTCAGAGTCTTAAGAGCCAGGTACCTCTCCCGACAGGCAGGCCACTGCAGCAAAAGGGAAGAGTTTGCAAAGTCAGAATGATGCTAAAAATACTTGTGAGGGCACACATGTGCACCTACACCACACACAAACACACACAAACACACACACACACACACACACACACACACACACACACACACACTTTCGCTATAGAGCTCCCAAAATGCTGGCAGTGTGTTTATACTCCAAGAAAGAGTTTGAAAATTTTGTCTTGGGAAAAATTAAATGCACAGATACTAACTTTAGAGTCCTGGGAGAAAATCTTCATCCCTTCCTTCTCTAACGTGGATGCTGACAGCTGATGAACACACCTGGGCCAGAGACTAGACAGGTGAATATCATGTGCAGGAAGTGGTAACAAACAGAGTACAATCAGGAAGGAGGAAAGGAAGAAGAAACTGTATTTTGCAGAGATTGGGGGGAAGTGTTTCTAAATAAAGAATAGGAGTTTTTTTTTAAGGTGGAGTAGAGTTGGGGAGGTTAAAGAATAAAAAATCTTAGCAGAAATAAAAATAATATAAACATGCAAAGATGAGGTGAAGAATTTGCTGTGAAGTAGAACTAAAGCAAACGGTGTGACCTGCCCAGCTTTAGCCGTGACCTGACTGGGGTGACAAGGGGTGAAGACAGCAGACACGCATCCGGATCTGCCGCGTGGTGATGGTGCCGGAGAAGCAGCAGCATCCAGGAAACCCCGAGGATTTCCCTTCTGCATCTCTTCTAAATCTCAGTCCAGGGAGTCAGATTAGGGAGGAGGCAGAGCTGACGTGTTCAGGTGAATACGGAAGCAGACATCTCTGTAGTCTCTGTGGGGAAGCAGTCTTGGGTGACAGCCATCCTAGGAGAGGAAGCAGTCAACATTCTCTGCACAGCTATCAGAATCCACAAAGGGGCCAGGGAAGGCTTTGCAATTTCCCCGAGCCTGCCCTGAGGAAGGCTTTGCTATTCCCATGAGTGTAAGATATCAAGGTCTTGGACATGGCTGTGCCCATGTGAACAGTACATATTCCCTAAGGACGTCACCCTCTCCCTAGAGGGCCTGGAGAGAAGACTCGAGGGTTATAAACACTTACTGCTCTTCCAGAGGATGGAGTTTGGTTCCTAGCACCTACATTTGGAAGCTGACAACAACCTGTAATCCCAGCTTCAGGGGATCTGAGACCATTCTGGCCTCCACACGCACTGACGCATATGTGGGCACGTGCACACACACACACAGACACACACACACACACACCACAACAACAACAATAAAAATAAAATAAATTATTTTGAAAAGAGAATGAAATATAAAGAAATAAAAGTTCAACCTGAGGTTCAAAATATGAGCTTCAGTAAAAAGAGAGAAAATAATTAAGTAGAGATGGAAGAGCATACAAGAGAAAAAGTAGATAGAGAACATCTCCTTGGAGACAGGTCTTGGCATCTCAGATCAAAATGATTCTGCAAATTCAGTTTAGTTACTCAGAAAGAAAGCTCACAATAAGCTGTGCCAATATAGTATTTAAGTATACAAGAAATGAGAAAGTCCTTAAAATTTCTGCATTAAAAGAAAATTAATAAGCAACAAATATAAAATAGACCCAAAATCAGAGAATCTTGGAGCTCTGCAGAAACAAAATCAGAACCCTCAGAAAACAGAACCAGCAAGGCTTCAAACTTTCAACGGCAAAATTATCTTTATCTAGAGGTTTAGGGTGTAGCTCACTTGGTGTAGTACTTGCCTTCGATGCACAAACCCTGCCTTCAGTTCTAGCAATGGATGAACCGGGTGAAGCCATGCAATGCTAGCACATCGGACAGGGAAGCAGGAAGACCAGGAGCTCACAGCCATCCTTCCTGTCCTTACAATACACGAAACAGTCTCAAACAATTGTTTCAAACCACATTATAGCACATAAAATGCTAGAGCTAGACACCCCTCCCCCATCGTAGAAGCAGATAGGTATGTAGACAGAGGCAGGGGCTCATAACTGGAAATTAGCTCTCTGGAGCTAATTTAGAAACTAAGAAGTCCCAAACCTGTTTCAGTTGGGAATCTGAAGACCTAAGAAGGTCAATTGTGTGATTTCATTCAAGTTCAAAAGCCTGGGGACCCAGAGAATTGATGGTGAGGTTCCAGGAAGAAACCCAGCAAACTACAAACCATGGAAGAAGTGACAGTTCAAAACCTGAGTTTGGAGGCAGAAAGACACCTATCTCTCCTGAGGACAGAGGGAGGCCTCAGCCTTTGTGTTCAACTCAGACCTTCAGTTATTAGCTAGAGCACTCTGCTTTACCCAGGCTGCTAATTCAAATATTACTCTCATCAGAAAAAGTCTTACAGAAACACTTAGAATAATGTTTGACCAAATGTTTGAACATGATATGGCCCAGTCAAATTAACATATAAAATGAAACATCATGCTATCAAACTGTGCTTCCATTTTAAGAGCAGAAGGAAGATGTCCGTAGGCATTCCGTAGCTCCAGAACATTCCATGTCAGGCACCATCCCCGGGAAAGCTGCAGGAGGATAAACTTGGAGATCCAGGGAGAAGATAAAGTGCCCAGAAATGGGCCAAGAACCCGCGACCGCTTTGCCACAGGCTTGCAGACCAAGATGGTGTAGCGTCCCAGAGGAGCGGCCTCAAGAGAAAAGGGAATGCTTTGTGTTCGTCATGGCTGTTTGGCCATGTTAAAAGTCACCTCCTAGCAGAAAGTTCACATCTGCATAGATACACAGAAGGCAAAGAAGTTAAAAAAGGAGGAAGGGCAAAAAAGAAAGATGCCATCATGGTGTGCTACATGTCTTAGCTGTGATGGAAAATGATCCGAACTCTTCGGGCAGCTTTAATCGGAGCTCTACATGATGCACTCGGGTGGGAGGTGGTAAGCGGGGCGTGTGGAAGAGCTGAGTCGGAGCTGTAGGGACGAGGATCAGTCTGATTCTTTTCATGCTGTGGATTCAGTAGACACTGTTCATACTTGGAGCTGAGACTGACTATGTGGCTTTGGGGAATATTTGCCTATAAAGCTTGTCAGTTGGGAACAGAGATGAAGAAGGAAGCTTCTGCAGGTTTAAGTTTTGTTTTTCACCAAAGAAGTTAGGACAAAGGTGTGGAGTGTGGCTTAGACACTGCTCCAAAGGTACCCTCGCGCAGACCCAGGAAAGCACTGTGCAGATTTGAAACTGTAACCTCTGGAGTTGTCCAGCCACGTGTCATGTGACTGACGACTGAAAGTGGAAACAGGAGTAAGGGGAGGATGCTGGAAAGGAACTCAGAAAATAAGCCAAGCTATTCATAATATCCTGTTCTGGGACCTTAGGATATTATCTTTTAGAGCTAGAGGGCCCTGATTTAGGACAGTCTCCACATTCTCTAGGATTTCCTCCACATTCCCAGACACTAGGGAACGGCGACTAGTGGCTAGAAGATCCAAGGGAGGATCTTTGTTTTGTAATCGTTATATATGTGTGTGTGTGTGTGTGTGTGTGTGTGTGTGTGTGTGTGTGTGTGTGTACTTCTTTAGAAAAGATAAAGATGTGAGGAAGGGAACTACAGATGAGGTTCATCAACACCCGGTGCCTGGAAACTACAGCCCCACAGCCCCGCGCTGTCTGTGTGCTTCCCAGCACCTAGTACAGGACAGCTACGCCGAAAGCAGCTAAGCAGTTTTGCCACAGGAAAAAAGGGTTGTTGAATGGACTCCGTAATATTCCCAAGCCAGACCACATGGGGGAGTACTTTTTCCATGGGAATCTGGTGACGTTCGGGCTCCTCTGGTGCGTTGGTTTGGGAATCAGAATTATTTGGTCCTTTCTTGTCATATTCTGAAATGGCAATTTTCTCCGACCTAACCTGATTGTGTGACAAAGTGTCAAACTCAGCCCACATCATTCCCACCAGCAGAAGGCAGCCTCCCATCCACACTTGAAGACTGCATGTTTCTTTACTGCAAAGTCATGCTTGTTCGCAGGGAAAAGCAGGCAATTCAAGTGCAAATTCAGAGTGTGAGAAAATTTAGAACTGCTTCTAAACATGGCTCTGAAAAAGCTGCGGAATGTAGATTTGACATTTATTAGCCCAAATATTTAGTGATCAGAGTTCATTACACAAAGACTATGTAATTGTGAATTATTAAAACTAAAAGTGAAGATCTGTAGCATTCTACTTTCATAAATAACGAAAAGATTTGTCAAAGTATATGAAGCCCTTAAAAATTAACCACTGACAGAACCCAGGGCTCCTATTATTTCATCTTTCATTAGCAATAAAACAATTCTTTTATTTAATCATTAGAATTCAAGTGTAAATAATAAGCAAATAATATAATAATCTTATGTTTTGATGAGTTTATTAATTGTTCAAGCATCTTACCATAACTACATTAAAGTAAGCATACAAGACGTGCAATCTAACACAAGAAGACGACATTAGGTTCTTATCCACATCTAAACTGAAATTGTCCCATCTTTAGATGAAGAAAAACCCTTTGTTATAAACTTAAAAACTTGTAGCGTTATAGCAACCAGGTACACTGCAGGAAGTTAGATTTGTGTGTAAAAAAAGTCAACCTGTTCCGAAGACAGCGCCCTCAACTGTGAAGACACGTGGAAGGCATGTGACAGGCGTGCTTTTGCACTGATGCAAAAATTCATGGATGGATTGATGTCATGTCTAAACTCTTACTCTTCCATTTCAGTTAAATATGAGAGGATCAAGTTCTTGGTGATTGCCTTAAAGAATGCAGTGGAGATATATGCTTGGGCTCCTAAGCCTTATCACAAGTTCATGGCGTTTAAGGTAAGCACAAACGTTGCCTGCCTGTTTAATTCAGCTTCCGTCAGAATTCTATTTTCCACATAAGCCAGAATCAGTTTTATTACATAGAGAAAAACTTATTTTAAAAACAATTCTTGAATTCATGATTTCAAAGGACTTAAATATTCAAAATACCATACAGTTTGTCCTGTTAAGACCTGTGATTGTCCTCCCCCACAGAAGGTCTATGAAATACTGACTTCAAGAGTAATTCAGTTTGGAGCAGTTACCAGGAAAAGTACCAAACACGACATTACACAACCATCTCTGCCGTGGAGCCCCTGAAAGTCATGTACTGTCTGGAGTATGCCGGAAAACGCAGATCCGTGGCAGCCCTGTGTCCCCAGATCTTCTAAGCATCACTAACATTTCTGAATAAACCAGAACTCAGTTGATTCTTTTCCGTTCCTATTGCTTGAGGGCATCTCTGAACGGAACACTGAAGGAGTCACACAGGGAGAAGACCATTCTTCTGCATTTCTATGCTGCTTGTCCTAGCATTTGCTTGCCTTGTCTTTGCCTGCACTCATCACTGATTGGGTGGGTCCTCTTGAGGGTTAGCAAGAGTGGGATGTTAATAGGCCTTGTCCCATTGACCCCAGAATATAAAAGATGAGTGCCAGAAGAACCATCACTTTGACTCACACTGATGTGTTCAGAACCACATAGCTTAGCCAGATCCAATGTGAATTTATCCCCCATTCTCTCTCCGTCTTTCTCACTGATCCTCATTCTCCCTGCCTTCATGACTGTAACTGGCTTATGGGGTTTTATTTATTCTTTCTTGCCACTTATTGTATGTAAAGACCAAATATGCTCCGGGATTTTGTAAGTACTCTCAGAGAATGAACCACTCCACTCCCGCCTTGCACTTTTAGTTCAAATGCCCATGTGTGATTTGTTATGGATGACAGATTCTTCAACAGGAATGGGCTTTCCTCCATAGGCCCACTTTGCTGCAAGAAATTTTTATATTGTATTATGTTCATAGTACCAATGAAAGACTGACTCCCAACGCTAACGTGGTGCTACTTTGCTGCCAAAGTCTTTCTCCAGAAAAGCTTTTCACTCAAGATTCCCTTCCCATTCCGATTCTGAAGTCTCAGCCCTCAGGGTCCTGGCCACAGCCCGTGAAAGAACAAAGCACTCCCCTTGGCAGATCAAACCCAACCTAGAAGAGGAAGCACAGAGGCCAGGACTTGAATAGGAAAGACTGGCATAGACTAGATGTGGAGCCTTCCCCTAGAGCAAGGCAAAAGACGTGAATTTCCTGGGCTGTGAGAATGGCGGTAACAGACGGGAAGGGAGCAGTGTTGATGGCAGCTAAGGTTTCCTGGATCTTCCCCTTGAGCTCAATATCAGATAAAAGTACAGAATCAGGACACAGGTAGAGAGACTGGAACTCTTCACAGCTATGAACTTAGGGCCTGGACCCATTCCTCCAGAACTCTGACAAACTTGGCTCGAGCTCTCCTCTTTGGCTTTCCTTGGTGACAAGCCAAGCCATGGGTGTTGTGATGCATCTTCTACATCTCCCCTTCTTATCCCCCAGACATGACTCTCAGAATACAGCACGAAGTTTAGAGAAACTGACGGTCATAGCAGGGAAATCATAACCAGTGTACATACACTAATCTCCACCAGCTTTAACACAGTGTCGCTCCCAGACTGTTCTCGAAGGTAGCAACCATAGATGAACCTGGGGGTCATAGAGATCACTGCACACTGCACACTCTCTAGAAGACAACAACAAACAGTATCCAGTTACCAAGCTTTTAACACACGCGCCACTATCAAAATTGATAGCTGTAAACAGTTTTTACTGTGCAAGACAAGAAAGGGAAAGAAGGGAACAAAATAGACAATAATCTAACTAATAGACAAAAATCCAGCTTTTCTCCTGGAGTCAGATATGAGTAGACCTGAGCCTGAAAGAGACGTTTTCCTAGTGTTTCAATGGAAAACACTCACTTCCTCCTGACAGTGGCCAAGCGAAACCCTTAGGAATAAGACAACCTCTTTTTCATGGTGTGGATACTAACGAGGTGATTTTTAAAGTCTTTTGCAGATCTTCAACATAAACCTCTGCTTGTTGACCTCACAGTAGAAGAGGGTCAAAGGTTAAAGGTCATTTTTGGCTCACACACTGGTTTCCATGTAATTGATGTTGATTCTGGAAACTCCTATGATATCTACATACCGTCCCATGTAAGTTTCAGCAATCAGACTGTCTCCTGCACCTGCTTGACAGCTTGCATGTGGAGAGATGGGGTTGGGCCTATATTTCACTTGAAATCATGCTAATCTCTAAAGGTTGTGAATTTGGGGTATTAGTAGACAGCTTTTTTTAAAAAAAGGATTTTATTATTCTCACAAGCTAAGGTGCACAAAAATTGCATTATTTTGAGATTATCATATTGTTTCTTTGGATATCAAGGTAAAATGCCTATGTTATACAATAGTTGAATTCTCGTTTTCGGATTTTGATTTTATGGTAGAGAAAGACAATGACTAAATACTAAACTCTTGGGGGAGGGGAACCACTTTTCTGCTATTTCCAGTTTTTCCCATCAGCCTGAGGGCTTGTGTTGTGGTGTAGCAGACACACTAGCATCCACCCCCTTTCTAGTACGTCTGAACCTGGCAATGGTGGGTGTGCTAAACAGTTTCTCCAACCCTCAGCTCTCCCAGCTGTAAGGTGGGGCTCCAAGTACCCATTCTGTAGGGTTACTTTCATTATCATTAAATTGGCTCAGGACCCAACATATTCAGGTTTCTTTTATTAGCAATATGATCTTCAGGTCACTATACTGACACATGGTCTAAAACATTACCTTTAAGGGAAATGCATGGATGTACCTATGAGCGCCGGTGTGGTGTAAGCTATGTTTCATGAATCCCAAGACTTACAGACTCTCAGGACAGCCTGAGGCTGGTCTCTGGCTGGTTGGCATTTTGAGAATTTAAAGAAACCCAGTCCTTGTGCATGTGTTTTGATGCATTTACACACATGCAGTTGTCACAGTCCTTGTGCATGTGTTTTGATACATTTGCAAAAATTGCAGTTGTCACCCACTGTTGAATTTTGTAGCTTTTTACTAGCATGTCTACATCAACGCTAAGACTTGGTCACCGCTGTGATTGTCTTCAATCCCCCAAAGCCCTGTCTGTCAATCACATGTTGGAATGATATGAGACTATCAGCCAGGAGTAGAAGTACCACCTCCCTTCCGATAGAACCAGTCAATCTATGTTTGTTTTAGAAGTGTGACCAGTAGTAGGCTAATTCTATCTTTTATCCCAAAGAAATCACTAATTTGGGTCATTCTGGTATTAGAGCTCTCGGGTGACTATTCTGGGCCTTGTACTCTTGGGCTCCCTGTAGGCGCCTGACGTTCTTGCCTCCTATGGAAGCAGTTGTTCTTGCGAGAACCCATGAAGCTCAGAGTCAGGAATATGTGCTCAGAGCCTGCCTCCATCTAACACCAGATATTCGTGTAGCTTTGGCCAAGTCACCCAACCCTGAGATGCAGTTCCCTCATCTGCAACAAAGTTTTCTGATGGTGCCCTCGTCTGTAGACTAGAAATGATGTCTATCAGTGGTCTGCAGATTAGCACACCAGTACTCCACGCATTCGGTGTTTCTGTTTTCAGAACCGGTAAGATGGATTCCAGATCAAGTAACTGTCTGTGTAGGCACCGGTGCATTTGACAAGAGAGGTGATTGCATAAAAGTAGATGTCAATCTCTAGAGTGAAAAGTAACATAAATTTTCATCTGCAATTCTTAAAAATAAAAGTCAGGAGGTTTTCTTGACTTTAAGTCAGGTAATTCTTGGCCTTTCTTCATCTCCCAGATCCAGGGCAACATTACTCCTCATGCCATTGTCATCTTGCCCAAAACGGATGGAATGGAAATGCTTGTCTGCTATGAGGATGAGGGGGTGTATGTGAACACCTACGGCCGGATCACGAAGGATGTGGTGCTCCAGTGGGGAGAAATGCCCACGTCTGTGGGTAGGTTGACCCTTCCTTATCTCCTTCAGCAGTTCCACCCCCCCAATGAAATGAAAGTCAAGAAATGGGAAACAACCATTTGAGTCCACACCAAAAAGAAAAAAAAAATCTGTGACTAACACTGTAAGACTTGCTTTGTCTGTTTGACCTCAAGTCCTTTGTCCTTTGTTTGTGCTTAAGATGTGAACAGATGCTGTGAGTGTTGCCCATCTAATGTTTTTAATGCAGTTTTGGAAATTCCTTTTGACAGCCTACATTCATTCCAATCAGATAATGGGCTGGGGCGAGAAAGCTATTGAGATCCGGTCAGTGGAAACAGGACATTTGGATGGAGTATTTATGCATAAGCGAGCTCAAAGGTTAAAGTTTCTATGTGAAAGAAATGATAAGGTAAATCCGTTTCAACTTTGCTTTAGTGTTTGCATTTTAAGAGACCTCCAGGTACCTGTGAAACCTTCATTTTTCCTTGATGCTGCCGAGTCACAACTGTATTAAGTGATCAATAGGTATCTTGAGATGGTGTTACCTGGCTTGATTCATGTGAACATTCAGAATCTGTAACTCATGCATCCAAACCGACATAAAACATCTAAACTTTCCTTGTAAACTTTTAGTAACTACTGTGACCTGTGGGCCTCTGGTGGCTGACAACCATTGCAGACTCTTCTGTGCACTTAGAGCAGCTGGCCTATCATTAACCATCTCACAGTGGGTCAGCCTCGTGGTTTCACCTTCAGGCCTTTCATAGAGACACTGCTGAGACTTAGCTTTCATAGTCTCTTCACCCTTAAGAGTAAAGCATCTGACATGTAGGTGAACTTCTAAAAAACTGCCACTCATTCCCAAGAAACAAAATCACACATTCAACTCCTGCCATGTCCTGTCTCATTCCAACCATGTGTCTCCTGACATGTCACAGGGGGGCTATGTTCTAATGGTAGTGGCCATGTCTGTCCAGCATGATCAGTCACCGCACAGGAGTCTACTGAGGTGGCCGTGCTCTCCCTTGCCCTCCCAGTAGCTAGTCTACACTTGTGAACCATGCTCTAAGACTATAGTCAGCCTAACAACCATGTCCCCGAGCAGCAGATTTGAACACATGTAGGAAGGAATGTGGTGGGTTGAACTGTTTACATCTCCTTGTTCACCCCAGTTCCCCAGAGGCCAGACTGGTCTTCTTCCAACCCTGGTAATATGGGTCTGGATTCTGTGACCCTGGCTAGCTGCTAATGATCTCATGTGATCAAACAGACAGCAGGTGTGGGAGACACGGATAGTTACTAGGAGACTTAGCAGACCGTGTCTGGGTATGGACAGCTGCCCTGCCGTTCTTGACGACATACCCCAGCAGGTCTCGGCCAGCCCATACTCTCAGGCTAGGACCTCTAATTTAGCCCCTGAATGCACAGATAGGGACAACAAACCCTCACGATCACCCCTATTTCGAGTCCCTGACCCATAGAGTAGCTTTACTTTCCTCTGTAGCATCAGCTAAATGTCAGGCAATTCCTCTAGCTTCTTAAGGAACCATGAGGACAAAGTAGCACTAGGGACAAACACTCATTCCTCAGACCACAGACACTGACTGACTGAAGGGCTATTGCACAGCCCCAAATATTACTTTCCAGGGGCAGTGCTTCACTGACATTCAACTCAAGCGAGCCGTAATCTACATTCTGCTCACTCTCCCCAGACCTAATGGACTGTGGTTCCGCTTATTAATGCCATTATCTCCTTTGGCTTAGGATCTGCCAGCATCAGCATAGAGGCCAAGTGCCAACCCTGAAGCACCAGACTGGGCAGGCATTCAACACCTTAGCCTAGACAACCATAACCACTCTAATATCTTTGGTTTTAAGTTTAAAAATTGACCATCAATTTGTACAACTGTCAGCTGGTCCCAAAACGTTGCCCATAGGTTTGGGAACTAAGGGATTCTCTTTTGTCATCTCTCCACGAGGGGGAGAAAGAGCGTCCCTGGACCTTTTGAGAAATCATCATTGTTCCAGGCCAGAAGTCCAGCAATAAATAATAATCTGAGAAAACATAAGGGCTGGAGGATTTCCTTGCAATGCACTGTCTGAAATGTCACTATAAACACTGGCCAGGGAAACTTAGCTGATGTTTAACAAGGGTAGGACATGTGAGAGAAAATGGCTGTACAGTTGAAGAAGAAGGGGGAACAAAAACCCATGAAGTTGAACTAACTTGTTTTTAATTCCAAACAGGTATTTTTTGCATCCGTGCGATCTGGAGGAAGTAGCCAAGTGTTTTTCATGACCCTCAACAGAAATTCCATGATGAACTGGTAACGGAAGAGCACTTGGCACTTATCTTCATGGCGTTCTTTCTAATGTAAAAGAACATAACTCGTGTGGACGTTTGCCGGTCTAGAGGCAGACTCAGAAGGCCTGGTTGAACATCCCGCTTTCCCGTTTCCTCTCCCTCCATCCCTCCCAATAGAGTCCCTCTTTCAGTGTTGCAGCCTGGTTGAGAAGGAGAGAAAGAGGTGGCAGGAATGTCCGGGAGATCCCAAGGATGCTGCATTGTCTGTGGACACAGTTGGACCTTGTGCCCTGCGGAGTTAGGGATAGAAACAAACATTGTGTGCTTTTATGATTAAGCTGTGTTCGTGCTGGCTTTTCAGTTCTTTTGGTCTGGGATTTTTTTTTAACTTTTTTCTTTGCCCCCTTATTTTGTAAGAATGGGGAAATAATGCATACTGGGAAATTAGACTTTTTTTGTTTTTAATTCTGTCTGCCTGCTAGCTTTAAGTATATGGTATGTTGTAAAATTTCCAATTCCCAGTAGTGAGAGACAGCACAATAAATGTACCTTATCTCCCTGCACTGAAGGCCATAACGGCGTTGTCGGGTAATTTAAGAATTCTCTTGCCTTCACCAACCCAAGAGAATGTGTTATTGTTTTTGTTTTTGTTTTTAATTGCTACTGGCTAGTGAATTTTTGAAAGAGAAGCAAAATGGCTGGTTTTCTCCTCTCTGGGGAAATAGATTTTAAATGGCTAAACTACTAGCCCTAATCTAATAAAACCAACTGCTACTGTGGTGAGTCTGGCAGGCCATATTTTGATATGGCCCTTTCTGGATGGTGTTGAATGGGACAGAGATGCCACTGAGTTGAATGGTCTTGTGACTGTGGAGGGACTCTGGGATGCCACTGTCCCTTGATTATTATGCAACAGATCAGGGCAAAACATGGGATGACCTGGGTCACCCAGAAGGAGCGTCTGAGAAATGAGCTAATATGTCTATGTAAATACACATGCGTTCTTTCTTCGAGGCACAAAGCGTCCCTGCTAAAAGGTCCCTTCATTTGGGCTTTGTTAGGACCGAGACTGACGGAGATCTTTCCTGGAGCTGGATTACATGACAGCCATGCTCTGGAAACCCAGCTCCCTCCCAAGGGTGCCACTTTCTCAAGATAAAAACTGTGACAAAGAAGAATTACTAATAAATGTTTCTGAGCTGCCTGTGTTCACACTGGGTCAAGGGACGAGACTCTCAAGCCTGCCGCAGACACTGCAGGCACCAATAGCTCAGATTTTAGGGGACCTGAAGGCAAGGCTTTGGCCAAAATTCTGAGACCCTAGTCACGTTATGTTCCTCTAAACTTCCCAACATACTGTTAACAACATCTGTGCAGAGGTGTGTATGTGTTTAGTTCAGGCTGACTTGTGTCCTTCTAAACCCTTACTCGAATGATTTGAACCTTTATGTGACTGGCTGGGATTCTTCCCAAAGCTATCAGCATGGCCGCCTATGGTATCCAGGTGTTGCGAAATGGTATCTGTGCTGTGCTTCCTGTGTTAACCTACCTCGTTTTGTTTGGTTCGTTTCTCTGTTCATCACAGCAGTGTTATCTCCAGGAGACATATAGAGAGCGCAACTGGGCAATCTCAGCTGTATGGAATATTTTCAAAACAGTAGTTGACCAAATTGTTCTTTAAAAATTGGAGGGAGAAAAAAAAATCTCCAATGACAAAAACCTAATGAGGTTTGTTTTAAAGAATGCAATTACTGTAAATGGATCAGAAAAAAAAACCAAAAATCGTGATCCTACTGATTTTGCCTAAACAAATGAGCAGCTAATGTACTATTAATGAGAACGAAGCATATGTTAGGAGAATGGTACCTTTTTAATCTAGTGGTTTGGCCAAAGGGGATGAGAAGGGGAAATATTCTGAGTTCCGACCTATAGCTTATTCTGTACTCCCCAAGGGTGATGGTCATGTGCAGTTATCTGAAGCAGGTAACACACAGGTGTGCAAAGAGGGTGGTCTTCAGGGGTCCCCAGGATGACCCATCATGGTCCCTTAGCTCTCAGAAGCAATGAAACCCTCCCGTTCTCATTTTTACTGCTGGGGTTATGCTGCTGAACAACACTGTCTTTACAAATTCCAGGGGACAAATTCAGCAAGAGCTCTGGGTTAAATTTAGCAACTGCAAAAATTGGATGCTGATATGAACATGAAATAATGTGGATTTGGGTCTTGTCTCCAGACGTGATTGCCACCAGCTCTTTATATTGCTGCTGCGACAATTTGAACCAGAGGCTTCTTAAATTATGTTGCAAACTGATCTTCGTTTTTATGTTTTGTTTTGTTCTGTTCTTATTTCTACGTGATACATCCAAAACACACAGCTTTAAATGATTTTTTATTGTGGGACTTTGGGTACAGTTAAGAAATAAAAGGGAATCATTGTGTTTAAACATAAGGTAGTTTGTGAATGTATTTTTTAAAAATCTAGATTCATTGGAACAAAAATCATAAGAAAACATATTAATGCCGTCTTGTTTACAGTATGTACGGTGACATAACATGAGCTTTTTCTGGTGCCAACAAAGCAAAATAAAACACAGACGTTAAACATCAAGCCATGCCTTTTATATTTTTGTACAAATATTTTGCATTGAGCATAAGGCAAAATCAAATCTAAAAGAGACCTGCAAATCTCTGCCCCTTAAAACACATTTACAGAATTCCCTGAAGCTGTTATCCTCAAAAGTAAATATTCCAGTAGTTATGACAACAGGTCTCAACCCTCCATCTTGAGACCTTGGTCATGCCAAGTAGATCAGAATAGTGCCCTTGTGGTTCATCTTACAGTTCCCAAATTTGGAGGTAGATTTCCTTTTGTTTGTTTGTTTGTTTTTTTGGTGGGTGTCATCTCTTTACCTATTGTAAACTAAAATTTCTTTGTTTTGATCTTGCCTTTTAAAAGGTTTTGTTCCTAGAAATTATTCAGGTTTCTACAAAAAAGAACAGCTTTCCCCAAATTAAGTTTAGTACACCTGTCCATCCTCAACAGGCTAAATTGCTGACCATCAGCAAACCCACTGAGTGTGCTCACACCGTAACTTGGGTGTAGGATCTAGGAAGAGACCATTGCGCTTAAGTGCTGGCCAGGATATTGTAGCTTGGAGTCCTATATCCGGTGAAAGCTGGAGGTAGATTGACTGGGAGTCCTCCCCACACAGATGCCTTGCAGATGATATGTAAAATCCCACAGCACACAGACAACGGTTAGATTGACTATCATGTGACTCCTAATAGCTTTAGTCAGAGCTCAGTAGCTTTCTGGGGGAGTTTTAAACTTTAAGACCGAGACTTGTTTGTATGATTATGATTCTTATTCAGTAGGGTAAAGTCAGTTTGGGGCAAACTCTCATGAGGCCACTAAGACAGGGTCCTGTGCTTCTAACGCTACCATCGCTTCCTGGGATGCACACCTAACAGACCTTGCACCAAGTGCACATTTTTTGAAGTCATTGTAGTTTCTGGTCGTCACTACTTCTAACCGTTTTCTGTGTGTTCTTGGGATGCCCTGACGGCTGTGTCTCTGGTCCCTCCTGTGCGGTAGTTTAGAAAGCGGTGTGATACTCAGACCGGAGCCGTCTGGGTTTTGTCCATTGACAAAGAAGGGCCGAAGTCTGACTTCACAGCCCACAGAGTTCTCCTTAAAAACTGCTCTCCCTGCTGTTTTTGTGTGTACGAGTTCATGTCACTGCATCCTCGAACCGTGCAAGCGCTCTGTGTGTGCTGTCTTGGAAAGTCCACGTGAACCGGCTCCCTTGCCTCTGTGCTGACTGCTGACGGTATACAATGTGCTGCATCATTGCTAAGAAAGAAGACATAGGTGTTAATGAGACCTTGACCTTAGCGTGCTGCGGGACGGCATGAAAAAAGAATCTACTGTGCTCCAAACATTCCAGAGACTCTCTGGTACTTGACAGTTGTAAATTATCAACTTAGTTTGAATTCATTACCCCAGAAATTAAATCTAAATGTCCCAAGCAACTATACATCTGAGGAACTAAGAACTTGCTTTCTCTGAGACTACACAGAAGACTATAACATACAATTTAACCCCTAAAGTCTAATTTTTCTTTATTTATCTGCTGGAATTTCTCATAAATGCCATTGTATTTGGCCTTGCTCACTACAGCAGTATGAGGAACCCTGAAATGAGCTGTCTTCCCATGAGTGACACACAGTGTGGCCATAAAATGATCTCTTTTCCAGAGCCCAGCAGAGAGTAAACATTCCTCACCGTTTGCAGGTCCCGAGCTGACAGCTTTTGTCAAATATTCTCCAGTGTCGTCTTTATTTCCATACTGTGCCATTGGCCTGGAAATTTCTCCATAGACATTTGTGATAGTCAACAATTTTCACAGCATTAAACCACCCGAGATTTATTCTTCTGTACATGCCAGTCCATGAAAGCCCACAACACAGAACAACAAAGGTCTCCCCAAAAGTTTTTAGACAGAAGATCCCTGGATGAGGTTTGTACTGTTTTAAGTCAGATCAAAATCTTGCTATACATTTGGGTGAAATCTATAACATACAATTGAAAATAATAAAGAAAAACATCCCTGAGCTTTCCGACCTCTGGCTGTATGTAATCGTCTTTGCACCCACTCGCTTGCTCTGTGTGACTTTGGTTTTGACAGACAGCAAATGGCTTTGCAGAGCAAAGGACTGGCAAGTGTTGACAGGAAGGCAAGTGTTCATTCCCAGCAGCGGATCACTGTTGGACCCAGCAAGCACCCACGCCTCGGCTGCCCTTTTCTTACCCCTTCCCTCAGGTTAAGGCATACTGTAGTTTGTTTAAGGGACCTGAAACATTTCCTGGGTCAGAATTTCACATGTAAGTTCTGTCCTATCAACTAGGCCAAGGCAGTTTCTTTATTCATTATCCAATGAAAGCAACACACAAACAGAAGGACCTCCTTCTCCAGTCTTTCATCCCGAGGAGAGTGGCTTTGCTAAGGGTATCAGTGGCTGCCTCCCCGTCCAGTGCAGGTACCAACTCTGGCTGTGTGCTGCTTACCTGAGGTCTTTGACACAGCCAGGAAATGCTTCTTGAGATAGTTTCTATGCACTGGACTTCTGCATTCCCTGGCATGTGCTAGCAGCTAGTACTGGATAGCCCCTTTCTAGGTGAATATCTTCAACCTTGGAGCGTTGAAAACCACTTATACAACAGCATAAGCCACATTTTCATCTCCTTCCCCGGCCACCTTCCTGAAGGCTGGATTCATATGCTTAATTTCCTAATAAGCATCTTCATTTGGATGTGTACTGTGTCCCCCCGACAAAAAAAAAAAAAAAAAAAAACACACAATTCATGATCTTCCCCAGATTGGCACAATGTCAATTCCATCTTTCCACACTGGAAAAATCTCATCATCACTCCTAATTTTACTCTTTTATATACAATATTCTAGTAATGTGGCCTTTCTTAGACTTAGTATATCCATGATCTGATATGGGCCAGGTCGCTTTCTACCTGACATGATGCTTTCAAACGACAAGCCAAAATATGCCACTCTTCCAATAACCTCCACTATGTCTTCCAGTTCCCTCAGGATAACACAGTCATGTGGCCAATATAGCCACCGAAATAATCTGCCCTACCTTTTGACCCTCCCCGGCTCCCATAATTCCTTCTCTGACCTGTTTTTCTCTGTTTGCTTGAATCTAGTTCATGCTTTACCCAGAATATCCTCAATACATGCCCCTTTCTGATATTCCATACCTGTACCTGCATGACTTGCTCCTTTTCTTCCTTTAGATCTTGTTCATAAGTATCCCTGTACCCTCTGAGGGCTATATTATAAAAAAATAGAAAGAAAGAGAGAGAGAGAGGGAAGGAGGGAGGAAGGAAGAAAGAAAGCTGCCACCCACAGCCATTTTCAGCTTTACTGACACTCGTAACTCTTCTTGTCCTGTTTTGCTCCTGGGTCTGTTTGTGAAGTGCTTTGAAGAATACCTAGCAGACAGTAGTTACTCAGTAAGTCGTTTTTCGATGAATAAATTAATAAAAAATAAGCAGTAACTGTTTCAGAACTAAAATGGCATAAAACTATGTGGTTAGCTTTAATTTCTATACCAAAATTAAGACTCTGTCTTCAGAGGCCATAAAATCATAAAGCATAGTTTTGCTTTCATAGACAAATAGAAAACCAGGTGGATTACCATTTCTGGCAGAAAAGACAGTTGACATGGACCCTGACTATCCTTTCCTGATTCCTGAATCTTCACAGACTCAGCTGCAGGAGTAGAAGAGAAACTATCACCCAGACCACCGAGAAAAGCAGCATTTTTAAACTTTAGTCTAACTCAAGGAATGGTCCCTTTTAAGCTGTTGTCATTGTACAAAATAAATAAATAAATAAATAAAATGTAGTTTGGGGATGTGCAGAGAAGACTCTTCATTTGTTTTGTGAAAAAAAAAATGTTTAAAACTCACAGCGACAGCCAGAGACCTTCTGTCAAGTGTAGCTTCAAAATGCCTGACGACATTTGGGTCTTACTCCTCAGTGGCAGGAGTTCTGAGGCCTCTGGGCAGCCTTTTCTACTTGTGTACACTCAGCGTCAGTGAATGTTGTTGTATGAAGCTTCATTGTAGGATACTGACATATGCCTTCTATGGATTTATTGTTTGACCGAGTCCTGTAAAGGGCACATCTCGTATTTCAATTTGTTCAACTGTGCATTTATCTCCTCCCTTAATTAAAAAAAGATTTAAAAAAATACAAAAGAAGGCAGTGAAATGCTGTAACTAAAGCAGCGTAGCAAAGACACAGTTGTCCCTCTTAGTCTGCGTCTTCTCACAAAGATGCTGAGACAAAGCCAGGGTCAAGGTCTCCGTCTTTCCAGAGGACCTGCGGCACTTAGGTGCAGATATCTGAAATCCTTTACAAAGGAAGGGTTCTAGGTGTAGGTAGGGAACGTGAAAAAGAGGCTCAGAAGAGCCCAAAATGTTACAGTAAGTGAAAAAAAATCTAGAAATCAAAAGCTTCCATTGTTAAAATCCAATAAATGTTTTTAAAATAACTTTCCAATATGGTGTACATAATATCTTATTATTCGCTTTCTTTAAACGCGTATTACAGCAGCTTGACTGTATGCTTTCATTTGCCACAACGAACTCTGCCCATGTTCTGTGACAAGAACAGCTTGGGACAGGCCTGATTCTCCCCCCAAAATAATGACCTTGTTCCAAGTCACTTTACCAGGTGAAGTGATGAGGACAGGTTGGTAGAACTGTGGCTTGAACAAGGTTTTCAACCCTTCACCAGAGGCTGAGCGGCTCCAGGTTTCTGTTTCCTTTCAGCCAACCTAGTAAAAGAGGTATTCCGAGCTAGGAGACTTCCCTGCAGCAGCAGAACAGAGTAGTCGCTCATAGCTGGACCCCAAATTACCAAAATTACCACCCGTGGAGGGAGAATGACCAAATGGGATGCCACCGTGAGTTTTCTGACCATCACTTAAAGACACTCTGTGCTAGTGATACAGCATGCTGGTGTTCACATGGGCCTGCGCTGATGCTGACAGATGCCTGCTTGTTTCAGCAAATGTTCCCATCTGGTCCCACGTAATGTAGGCAGCCTTTTTTTCAAGCTTCACAAGACTTGGGTCTTGAGTAGGGGAGTCTTCAGTTTTGACTTTGGCGTTTCACTGGCTAGTGAACTCCAGGAGAACACGGGAGCACTGTTCAAGGGGACGCTGCAGGTCCTGACTTAAGTCAGCACAGAAATACACTGCCCTTCTCAAAAGTTGTGGAGAGAAAACCTGACGTCATCCTGTCGCACTGGAGCCCAGCATGTACTTGCCTAGGGGTCTATAACTTAGGCTGGCCTCAATGAGGTAAGTGGTAGTAGCCTCATGTAACATTCCAGAAACTTCTATATGTGCTAGCACCATCAAAGGGTAGCCATGCTGTGGGACAAAAGTCACCACAAAAATCACCATATTCTAGGTGTCTTGTCAAATAAAGACTGGTTCCCAATGTTTCTGGCCTACACACCAGAGAACTGAAAAGCAACAGAAAGTTCGCAAATACTTTCAGATGAAACTCCATGCTATAAGCAAGGTTTTCACATGAATACACATCTACAGACAATGTCTGGTGGATATATTCTGCAGACCCTTTCCTGCGACTCCCAGACTCACAGATTCCCTTAAGACTCACATTTGTGTCTTGATTCTGTTTTATGGCAATGCGTTTATGTAGGTGATATGCTAATGGTCGTTGGTTTAGCTCATCTAATAAAGCTATCTTAATTACAGTCACATGTAAGAGGACTCCATTTTTATGTTAATTTTTGACCAGTTCATTTGCCATTGGAGGCAACTGTGATCTTACTAGAACATAGCCTGCCGGTTCAGAGTAAGCAAAGTAGCCATTGGATTACCAGCTGCCTGTGCTACATACAGCCAGCCCTACACTGGATGCTGAAGCAGAAGCTAAGCTGCTGATAAGGAAATTACCCCTGCCTGCCCCCATCTATAATCCTGCCAGGAGCAACAGTTTCTTATGCAGCTGAGATGAAGAAGGCAAAAAGACGGGAGACATACATTCTCAGGCAATAACGGAAGGGATACTCTATTCTTGGACAGGAATGCAGAAACTTTGGTGGAACAGAGGAAAGTGTTGTGTGCATTTTCCTGAAGAGACACAATATCTATTCACCCAAGATAAGGCCCTAGCAGCAGAGCAAAGAAAGATCCCTCCCAAGTCTAGCTTAGAGCTCAAGGGAGTTTACTGAGGTTTCTTACAGGAGCAGGGATGACTCAAGGTACCTGTAGCACCGGAAAAAATCACATCCCTAGAGTTCAATGCATAACTAGCAGTTTGGCAGGTTGAGGGGCCTTGATACTGAGTATGTAACCTCAGGGGTGTGCTTATAAACGCTTGAAGATTCAGGAACTACCTAAGCCAAAAAGTTTCAGATATTTCTCGAGCTTTAACAAGCTTTTCCCACAAGAGAAAACTCTTCAATATGGAGGAAATTGTTGCACAACAAAGGTTATGGAAGTTTGAAGAAGCGGCCTTCGCTAGCATGACAGAGTAGAGAACGTGGGGACCGTCAAGTTAGTCAGAGCAGTTGAAGCAAAGGCCCAGAGGAAGAGAAGAGCATTGGACACAAAAAATGGTGAGGGGTTAATGTGACAAAGGAATCGCTGATGGAGCAGAGAGTCGTCAGCTGATGCGTGAGTGTACGCCATATCACCTGGGGCCTGTGCTCACCTTCCTCCCAAGCCACAAGGGTTCCAGACACAATGATAGGGCATCCTGGCTTCTGGTGAGAGAAGACCATCAGGGCAATCGATGGCGTGTTGATGGGATGTGCCCCCAAGCCCCCACCCCAGGAGGGGATCACTTTGTTTGTAGATCTGTGCATTCTTCCAGCTGTTGTTTCAGCACTAAGCACCCCATTTTTCTCAGGGAGTTCCAACTTTGCAGCATGAAACTACCCTGATGTCCCACTTGCTCGAATGCTCCTAGTCATAAGACTAACTCAAGGGTTTATTTCAAAGGCAGCATTCTGAGCCACCCTCCCCTCATGTAAGCAGGAATTTGGTAGGCTGATGCCACCACCCTGGACAGCCCATCACAACCTGAAGAAACAGGACATTTGGACACTTGTTCTTCTATTCTGCAGCAGGCTTTCCAGGGGGTCCAGAGATCAAATGCCTCAGGTCAGAGAGACAAATGAGTCAGTGAAGTGCTTTCTGTGGAAGCACAGAGACCTGCGTTTTATCTCCAGAGCCCACGTGAAAACGAAACAATAACAACAAGAAAACAAAACAAACAAGATCAGGCACTGTGCTTGTTTGTAATCCCAGCTCTGGGAAAGCGGAAAGAGGTGGATCTTGGAGCTCACTGGCAAACTGCCCAGCCTCTTTGATGAACTACAAGTCAGGGAGAGACCCGATCAAAAAAATAATAAGGTGGATAACACCCAAGAAACAGCACCCAAAGTTGACCTCTGGCCTGTACATGCACATACACCTGAGCACGAATGTGCACCCACAAACACAGGAACGCACACATACACATAAGAAATCAAGTCTCCAGACCAATACTTCCTCGTGCTACCATTTCTTCCTGTGTAATGCTTTGAGAAGAGAGGTGGGGGATGATTTAGCTGGCCCAACTGAACCTTCTGTCCTTACCTCCCGGCACCTCACCTACACTTCAAACTCCTGGGTGGACTTCCTGCTGGAAACACACCCTCTTGCCCCCTAAAGCATTGCTACTCATTATGGACCTGGGCCTCCTACTCGG